TAAAAAAAATATTTAGTCTTTTTGTGAAATATATAAATAAAAATATATTTATAAAAAGACATATATAGATCATAAAAAATTATATATTTAGTAATATTAAAAAATGATATAAATTGCATCACAAAAAAATCAACATTTTTATAGAAATTTTATTTCTCTCATTTTAGTAGGTTTAGAATATAAATTACAATACAGAGATGACATAATTTTAATAACTGCACACATTTGGTTGTAATGTTTTATTAGTTTTCCTTCATATCCTCACACCTGGCAATGTTCTGTAATAATTAAAACAACAATAATGCACAAAAGATATTTTATAAATTTTAATTTGAAAAAATAAATACAAAAATATTCAGTGTGTGAGAATATATTCGTCAATATATATTCAGAAGACCATCGTATATTATCATCATTTAAGTTTTTAATTTAATCATATTTGCAATAATAAGAATAGAAAGAGTATTATAAACTAATAATCACAATAGATAACAACAAACCATTACTGGAAGGAGACATGTTTAAAATTTCTTGAAACTTTTCTTTGATCCCGTTCCTTTTGAAACCTTCAATACATTAAATCTTACTGTCTTGCTCAATGGTCGGCATTCACCAATGGTGACTACATCACCGATTTCAACATCCCTGAAATTTAATTTATAAAGTTTGTAAGTATTAATTGTGATCAATTGTTATATCTTTTTTTAATTATTATTTTGTCAGATCCATAATAATTCTTCAAATTGTATTGTTATGTGTCAGTAGACCATCGTGATATAAACTATCATCATATAAAAACACTTTTAGTAAAAGTTTAATATTCCTGGAAAAAAAAAAAAAAAGAAAATGTAAATTATTTTATTATACCTGAAACAAGGACTAAGATGAACGCTCATGTTACGATGACGTTTCTCAAAACGATTGTACTTCCTAATGTAATGTAAATAATCTCTGCGTATAACTATAGTACGTTGCATTTTCATCTTTTGTACCACACCAGTAAGGATACGTCCTCTAATCGACACATTGCCTGTAAATGGGCATTTCTTATCGATATAAGTTCCCTCAATGGCCTGTAAAGATTGAACAGAATATATGAAACATTTCGTATATCTTTTACTATTAAAAAACTAAATATGCAATTATTCAGTATTGTGAGAATATAGAATCTATCTTCAATCAATCTTCAGAAGACCGTCGTTTATCATCATATTAAATATTTTGATTATATCTGATAATAATATTAAAACTATAAATTAGACTTTTAATTATAAGTAATTAATTAGATTATTAATTATAAGTAATTTTATAAGTAATAAGTAATTAATTACAAGTATTTCAATATATACTTTGATAAATCAATATATTTTTTATATACCTAATCTTACTCCACAAATTTATTCCTTTTTGCGAAGATTATTACAATAATACAAATAGAAATAAAAACATTGCAAGTAAATTATTAAGGTAATACTGTGTGAATTAAAAGATAAATTTATACTCACTTCACGAGGCGTCTTGAAACCGAGCCCGACATTGCGACTATATCTCATGGGCTTCCTACGCTTCGGGCCCAGACCTTTCTTACGATTAAGAAAGATCGTGGGTTGTTTTTGAAACGCACGCTCGCTCTGCAAACGAAATCATTACACAAATTACGCATATTTTTCACGACATCGGAACTTGATGTCGAGACACGCGTGTACGACCTAACCACGTGCTACGCTCGCGATTGTAATCTCTCGATCACATCTTCATCTACGAGCTTGCTTTTCGCTTGGGCTTATGCGTAACGCTAACTGTCGCGAAAACATAGCATATTTTCACAAAATAATATCATAATATATGAAAAATTTAATTTATTAACTGTTGTAGTATCGCACACGTACCTGATCTGCCATCTTGCTCTGAGAGTGAAAGACCGATGTAAACCGGAAATGGCGCGGTATACAACGGATCTCGACTTCAGCGACTCTACGATCGCAGTGCAACCAACATAGGAAATATATATTTTTCTATAGAGCTCAATGTGCAATGGTGCGCGATTATCGAGCTCCATAAAGTTAGCCGGTCAACATTCACTTTTATAATTTTTTTTTTTATGGATCGTTTGTTGGTCGTTTGTTGGTGATCAAATGTATTAAATTTCGTTTAATACTTAAATATGCACAAGTTTGATTTTTTCATTCTTTACCTATATAACGAGGAATAAATGACCATATCATAACCCAGCAAACCACAGCATATAACATAGACGTATATGTAATATTACACGAGTGTCATGAATGTTACATGTAATCCCAGCAAACACAGAATATAACTGCTATATAACATGGGAATAACATGTAATGTAACGGTTGTTATACCTAATTTATATTGGGATTATATAACTATCTCTTATTTAAGCAATATAACACCAGAATATAACTGCTATGTAACATGGGAGTAACATGTAATGTAACAGTTGTTATACCTAATTTATATTGGGATTATATAACTATCTCTTATTTAAGCAATATAACACCAGAATATAACTGCTATGTAACATGGGAGTAACATGTAATGTAACAGTTGTTATACCTAATTTATATTGGGATTATATAACTATCTCTTATTTAAGCAATATAACACCAGAATATAACTGCTATGTAACATGGGAGTAACATGTAATGTAACAGTTGTTATACCTAATTTATATTGGGATTATATAACTATCTCTTATTTAAGCAATATAACACCAGAATATAACTGCTATGTAACATGGGAGTAACATGTAATGTAACAGTTGTTATACCTAATTTATATTGGGATTATATAACTATCTCTTATTTAAGCAATATAACACCAGAATATAACTGCTATGTAACATGGGAGTAACATGTAATGTAACAGTTGTTATACCTAATTTATATTGGGATTATATAACTATCTCTTATTTAAGCAATATAACACCAGAATATAACTGCTATGTAACATGGGAGTAACATGTAATGTAACAGTTGTTATACCTAATTTATATTGGGATTATATAACTATCTCTTATTTAAGCAATATAACACCAGAATATAACTGCTATGTAACATGGGAGTAACATGTAAATGTAACATTTGTTATACCTAATTTATATTGGGATTATATAACTGTC